ATTACAGACCATCAGAAAGACATTACTATTACAGATTTCTAGTGGTTCCTAATGAAAGAAGACTCTAGTTCTGCTGGTGTTTAATAGTAATCAGAAAATCTCTACAGGAACCTGATGGAAACCATTACAGATTTTCCTAATGGACTTAGTTGCCTAGCAACTGCATTCATCTGACTTTAAATACTTTTAAAGTATTTAAACAGTGATTGTGTAGTGTTACATCTAAGGCATGAACTCACAAGTTTAACATAAATGCAGGATGATATCACTCTAAATAATGAACGGTTCAAGTTAGGTGAGGGGGCGGGGTCAGTCAGAGTGAAGGGCGGGGCTAGCACTACAAGCCAATACAGTCATATCAAATACAATAATATATTACACATTTTACATAAGATGAGGTCATGACTCCAGGCTTTGTCATATAGCAAGTGTGTTTGTGCTCATTTCGGTTTTACACACACACACACACACACACACACACACACACACATACACATAGACACCGGTTTGACCTTTTACTGACATCAGATTTATGGTAGTGAGAGTTTTTTAAGAGCCGGCTGCACTTTAATGGGCCTGCATGGACAAATTTTACATTTAAAACCCAATTTAATGCGTCCCAAGGAAACGTCGTCATAAATCAGATAAATCAGGCAAAAACATCCAAAGAAAAAAGACACCAAGATACATGTGGTGTGCATTTTAATTTCATTTATTTCCGAAATCCTGCGCTGCTGTAATTAATCATGATGTAACAAATATTAATAAATTTTATTTAGATAGAAATATCCATTTCGATGTCAAAAAATTAATTAAATTAAATAATCATGAGAAAGCATTTCACAAACTAGTTTTTAATTATTAAATAATAACTATAAATATAAAATTAAAACTAAAAAAAAGTAATACGATCAATTAAAAGACCCTCTTCTCAGTCAAAATTACAAAATTACAAATAGTCCAGGCTAAATACTTTTTTTTTTTAATTTATTGATTTATGTAAACAGTAATGATCTCATCTTATCATCAAATCAATAGTAAACATTTATTTCTAAAGAATATTATTCTAAAGAATACAGGATATTTTGAGGCAGAAACATTGTAACCTAAATTATGTTCATTTTATTTTTGAACAAAACCGTTGGCATTCAGATGAAGGGAATAAAGATGAATGAGTGAATGAGGCAGAGAATGAAGAACCTGAAGAGTTCTGTGAAGGAATTTAAGCACTAATTATCAGTAAATGAGCAGTGGGTAAACACAGCACCATGGTACTAAAGAGTCTGTAAATATTTAGACTGAGAAGTGCACTTGGCCAAGGGGGCAGCGAGCATTTTAAAGATTTTTTTCACAACAGTTCCTCTCCTCACCATAATGACCTGTCAGAAGCACTTCCTTTACAAAAACATGTCCATCTCTTAACCTGAAGGGTGCCTCCTTTTAAAAAAGTTTTAAACAGGGCAGGAGGGGTGAAAGGTCAAAGGTTAAATGGTGCTTTTACAATTGATGACAAGTTGGAGAGCCTGAGAAAGAAAAAGAGGAACACAGAGGTCAGGTGTAGAAACAAATAAATAAAGGCATATATTTTACAACAATTTAATATAAACTGTTCTTTTTTAATTAATGAGATAGCAAATCATTTGACCTCAATCTGTTCTTTTTTCTGGTAAATAATATCATTAACAATTAATGATAACAGTTTATAATTAATAATAAAGTATTGGTAATTATTACTTATAATATTTTAATAATTAACAATTTAATTTATAAAAGAATTCATTTATTTAGAATTATAACAGCTTTATCTGAAAGCTTAAAATCATAAAATAACTATTCTAATTTTAAATAATTAATGAAATTATTACATATTAATACACTCTTGATTGATCATTAATAACTATTCATTTCAATGTACAATTTTTTTTTTCTTTGGCTGCTTCTGTTAGGCATCGCCACAGTGGATCATTGGTCCGCATATTTGATTTGTCACAGTTTTTACACCGGATGCCCTTCTTGATTCAACCCTGCTCAGTTTTATCCAGGCTTGGGACTGGCACTGAGAGTACACTTTTGTGTACAATCCCAGCGGCTAGGAATTGAACCCGGGCCGCGGTGGTGAGAGTGCCGAGGCCTAACTGCTACCGCTAGCAAAGTACCTCCATTTTCAGGGGCTCAAAGGTATTTGGACAAAGTGACATAATTGAAAATATAACCATAATTTTAATACTTGGATGAAAATCCTTTGCAGTCAGTGACTGCCTGAAGTCTAGAGCCCATGTTCTCAAAACTCAAATTCTGAGTTTCCTCCCTGGAGATGCTTTGCCAGGCCTTCACTGCAGCCACCTTCAGTTGCTTGTCTTCAGTAAGTGAAAAGCAGCTCTATTGGGTTGACAGACTTGGCCATTGAAGAATATTCCATTTCTTTGACTTCAAAAAGTCTTGAGTTGAGTTGTATGTTTAGGGTCATTATCCACCTGCACTGTGAAGCGGCTTCCTATGAGTTTGTAGCATTTGGCTGAATGTGAGCAGAGAGTATAGCCTTATACACCTCAGAATTCATCTTGCTACTTCTGTCAGCAGTCACATCATCAATAAACACCAGTGAGCCCGTTCCATTGGCAGCCATACATGCCCATGCCATAACACTGCCTCCACCATGTTTGACACATGATGTGGTATACTTTGAATCATGAGCTGTTCCTTTCTTTCACCATACTTTTCTCTTCCCATCATTCTGGTA